TAAAAACATTCCTTGGCTATGCCTGTGCAAGTGAAATAAGCAGGGCAAGGATACCAGCTTTATCATTTGATCATCCATGCTGTGTAATTGCTGATACTCACTCTCCTTGGCATAGTTTTGAGCTCGGTTCCAGACAATGCCTGAGCACAGCTGGGGGACAGCACAGGCCAGGGACTATTCTCAGGAGGCAGTGAGTGGTCTTTGTTTTGGGGAGTGCAGACAGTTTAATCATACAAAGATAAGCAGTGCTGAACCACTTGCCCACAGGAACAGAGGAGGGGCATGGATGTAGCATTTAAGTTCAAATGAGGTCCACAGGTCTGGTTTTCCTTTAATGACAGGGAATAGTGGCTATAAATTCTATACTCTGTGAGAATCTCCTGCCAGAGCTGATTAAGCATCTGTTTCCCACCAAACCAAGTGCCCCTATAAAGAAAGGGGGTAGGTGGTCTTGCAGAGAACAGGTAGCTTAATTATCTAATCATGGGAGGCAGTGTCTGGCATGGGAGACACTGGCATGGGAGGCAGTGTCTGGCACATCTAATGTTATTTTATCATGGGCAGGGTACACATGAGAAAATTCAGTGCCACAAGTAAGAAGGAAGAAGAGGGAGACTGGGATAGTCAGATGAAGTCTTGAAATCCCTCAAAGCCAAGAAACTGGGAGCAGTCCAAAGTAAGTATATGAATTTTAAGGAATTTAGTGTCTGGTCTGTCTGACCAGTGATTTTTTAGATTGCTGATGAGAAGAAAGCTCTGTTCCTTAACTGTGCTCCTCAGGATGTGTTCAGCACTACAAAAGTTTCTCTAAATATTTCAGGAGTCCCGGGGGCATTTTGAGCAATGCAAAGTGAAATCACTTCCAGATGTTGTATGGGAATCAGAACCCAGGAGCACCTTCTCCTTTCTACTCTGAGGAAGAACAAGGAAGAGGAGACTTTTGAAAATGAGACACTTGGGGTTTCAAGCCAAAACAAAGAGATGTGCCAAGAAGTTGTTTTTTGAACTCTTCATGAGCTCTATGCGTAACACCTTAACAGTCTGAATATTTTCTGGGTATATGGTTTACTGTTTGACAAACAAACATAGGAATTCTATCTCACCACAGGATATGTCCCTTGGACAATGTAAAGCTGGTGGATGTGTGTAGCACTGAAATCCATAAAGGTGGAACAGACATTCAACAAAACATGAATTAAAAAAAAAAGCTGTAGAAGATGTATTATCTCACTCCTCTAAGGCCAGAAAAAAAGAAAAATAAATATAAGTGAAGAAAAACCACACCCCAAGTTTGAAAGAATACCCACAATGCAATAAAATAATCCTGAGGAGCATATTCTGATTTAGCCATAAGGAAAACTGGGAAGCTGGGTACGCTCTGCTCTTTTTTATACCACATAATATGTAGTATTTTGAGGAAGGTGTGGGACTGTGCCCTTGGGCACCCACAGCATGTCTGTGCTTATCCCTTCAAGGACAACAGACTTAGTTTCTAAATGCAGTTATTGGGAATTCTATCATTCAGTGAAATTACAGCAGGAATCAATTTGGCTTGAAGCATTACTATGTAGCCTTGAAAATGTTCTCTTCATGGGGTCAAAAATGGCCAAAAATCCAGGAAATCTTGTTAAGAATTACCACTGAAAACAGCATAGATGTCACTTACATATAAGGCATGCTGGGTACCTCTAAGCCTATCTAGATCTATCAGTAAAAAATGGCAAACTAGGTAAAGCAGAATTTTGCCTATCTTTTGAAGACTGTTAGCTATATTTACTGTTGTACTGCAGTGTATGTGTATACAGTACTCTGCCAAGCAAGATACACTTTTTATTGACCTACTTGTGTTCCAATTTATTGCTAGTGACAGCTGTTGTCAATGATCTGGAGAAAATAAGTTGAGAATAAAGGAAAGACACACTGATTGGTTAAAAAAATAGTTGTTGTTTTAAATCAAATATAAGGGATTTAGTCTCTTAAAAACTTCAGAGTCGGATTAAAATTAAGACTTTAAAGCCATGGCTGGATTACAGTAATTCAGAACTTAATGGATTATGAGATGAAATACTTCATAGGCATCATTTTGGACAAATACTGCCATTAGGATTACTACATAATTTAGACCTACTGTACTGCATTTCCTCAAATCCTCTGCCGTGGTACTATATGAATTTGAAAGACACTGGCTGCCATGTTTAATTTGATCCTTCTAATATGTGAGTCAAATTTGTTGGCATTTAACATTTACAGCCAGTCTAATGTGCTACATTTCAGTGGCTTCTCTGCACAGTAATTTCAGAATCAAGATCTAGTACAGCTGGTATTCTGATGGTATATGCCAGATACAGGTTGTGGATGACAGATGTAGTACTTGACAATGTCCTTCCTCTAGTTAGCACAATAGGCATTTAACTGTTTCTGGGTTTTAAGGACAAATTAAGATATATTTGTTTCTGTGTTTTATCTTATTTGGCTTTTTTTACTTTTAAGTGTCTACAAGTTGCTTGGGGATATTTTACATGGAAGGCACTATACACCAATGTTTAATTGTGTCTCTCTCTGAAAAGTTGAAACAGTTTTATTGGAGATGCCTACCAGAGAAATCATTTCTATCACTAATGGAGAAAGCAAGTGATAAAAGCCTCTCAGATGACAGAGATGCTGACCAAAGTAGATCTCCTATGACAGTATCCTAGGGGAAAAATGAAACAAATCAGTCCCCCTGTTTTTTGTCAGCATCTTGAGGGAAAAGCAGATGAAGATACAATAATTCTGTTGTAGCTGTTTCTGACTATGTTTCTTTCTAATCCAAAGAGATGAGCACATCCTATTGACTTTTGACTCTGACACCCTTCTGCCTTGTATGTACATATTTAAACTGCAGAAAAATTAAGCAGTTGCAAGTAAATTATTTTAAGAGATATGAAGAGTTAGGTAGTACTTCTAAACATTGTTAAATAAACATACTGGAAGAGTTAAAAACATGGAGGGAGGTGGAGTAAGAGGAATAACAAGGATATATACACAGGGGAGAGTTTTTTCCAAAAGAGGCAGAAAAACTGATTACATTTATTCAATTTACATCTGCTTATGACTCTCATGAATATACACAGAAATTAAGCCTTCTTTTCTTGACATGCAAGCCAGTTACATCCTTTTGAAGTCCACAGGAAGTATTTGTACCTTATAGTAGGAAATTTGGTTTCTCTTTATGAGAGGCTGCTGCCTCTCTAGTTGTCCTTGAGACCAGATAGTGTGAACAAACATTACAGTGTGAACAACAACGACAACAACAACAACAATAATAATTGTTAATATTAAAAAAACCCCAATTCTGGCAGAAAGCAATTCCTGAGAAAACAAGGCTGTTATCCCAAGATTTCTTTGGGTATAAAGGAGTTAGAGATGTTGTGGGTGAAAGTCTGGGAGTACGAAAACTATGTCAAGGTCACGCAGCTTAGAGCTCCAGGCAGTTTGAGGCATACCTTGAACAGAACCTCTTCTACAATAGCCAGAAAAATATGAGTATTTTCAGGCCAGAACATTATCAGTCAAAAAGAATGTGGATTTTCTAGATACTAGGATTTCAACCTTCAGTTTCCCCATTTTACCTTATCTAAATAATACAATGTCCTAAATGACCTTGGGAAACAAACCGGCAATTTAAATTTACCAAAAATAAAAGAAAGACAATTACAAGCTTAAAATATTTTCAGAGGAGGAGCGAGGGATGTGTGAAGGATGCAATAGAGGTGGGGAGGGCCAGGTACCCCTCCAGGTACTCATGCTTACCACTGCTGCTTGCTGCTCACCCTGCCCTGGTGATACCTCTAGCTGAGCAGAAGTAGCAGCAGCTGTCAAGGCTCAGGGATGCAAGGTTCCTTATGTCCTCTCCTCTTGCTCCAAAGGGTGCACAAGAAGGTACCCCTCTCACCCTGCCTTGCTATAGTTATGATACATTAATAGTCTGATGTATGCATAATTAATACCAGTGCTACAAGGATACTAATAAAGTCTTAATGGCCCTGACCTGCCTCATGTGGGCCCTCCCCTTCTGTCCATGGGCTAATGAAATCCATTTAAGCTCAGGTCTGGGCCTTCATTCCCTGTCCAACTCACTGCAACCATGCCCTTTACAGCAGTGCTTGTGCCTGGCTCTGTCCTCCATTGGCCTGGACCCTGCCCTGGGGTTTGTCTTCCTGACTGGACCTCAGACCTGCCTTGTCACTGTGCATGCCTGGCAGTCTCCAGGCAGTGTCTGTTGGACCTGATCCTGACCTGACTTCCTGGCCTGACCTTGGACTTGACTCATCACCATGGAAGTGCCTGAGGATCTTAGCGCTTGGTTGAACCTGACTCCACCTTTGGGCTTGCCCTGCTCACCTGGTTTAGGTGTTGCGGGACTTGGACCCCTGCCAGCTGCATTTTGCATCTTGGCTCTTGTTGCCCTATCCTTTGGGAACACCCAGTCCTCAGTGCTCCCTGATGATGAGGGACTTTTGACAAGAGCTTGTAGTTATAGGACAAGGGGGAATGACTTTAAACTGAAAAAGGGCAAGTTCAGATTAGATGTCAGGAAGAGATTTTTTACTGTGAGGGTGGCGAAGTACCAGAGCTGGTTGCCCAGAGAAGCTGCAGATGCCCCATCCCTGGCAGTGTTCAAGGCCAGGTTGAATGGGGCTTTGAGAAACCTGGTCAAAAGTGAGTGATATCCCCTACTCGTGGTGAAGGGGTTGGCACTAAATGGTCTTTAAGGTCCTTTCAAATCCAAAGCATTCTATGACTCTGTGATTCTATGAATTCTACTATTCTATGGTTAGAGGCTTAATTTATGATGAAAAACTAAGGAGTTTATATAATATGTTTCATTCATTTCTCAGTGTACAATAAGTCTTACTAGAATTTTGGCCACATCTCAGTTCCTGTTGGACAAATTGTATTTTTCTCTTTTTAAATGCAAAAAATGACATAGTTTTAATTTTAAAGCCATTTGTACTTACATATCATCAAAGATAAGCTTTGTCCTTCTGCAGTCCCTGGGTGTGCTGGACAGAGGTGACCAAGGCTGTGTTTGGGACTGTGGCTTATTGCAGAGAAGAACATTTTCTGAATTGATGTGAATTGCTTTCTAGACAACAAACAGCAGGTAAGACATTGAGGAATTGGCTACTAACTTAAAAAAATTACAAATAACAAGAAAACTAGAGTGCCTTTGCACTATGTTGTAAATTAGAAGTTAGTTTTCCTACTATTTAAGCAGGAAGTATGTACAAGTGTCCTGTCACTAACAGCCACAAATTCACAGATATTGGTCAGAACACTTTGTAAAGGGCTTGAATTTCAATATGATAAAGAGAAGAAACTGAGCTGAACTATTACTAACTATCAAAACACTCTGAAACACAGTAAGTGAAATTATTAAAGAATAGATCTTTTGTAGTAATTTAGAAGATCAGGTTTATCTCTAGCTTTCAGCTTCCAAACTAGCATTCTCCCTTGCCTCAGGAGAGCAAGAACTTACATGTTCGACTCGTTTCATGCTGCCCTGCTGATGTACTTGTGTGGTATGAATTTGTAGCCCAAGGTCCAGGTTTCTTTGTGCTCTGGGCTCCTGATCACCTTGAAAGACCACTTCTCTGTGCTGCAGTGGAAGAACATGTCTTTTGGCAGGGTCTCACGCATTCCCTCAGCTGCAGCCCTGTCCTTCATGTGGCCTCCTGAGCCCTTCGTTCTACCACGTGACCTGCTACGTTGGGCTACTATGCACTGGTACAGTGCAAAACAGAGGGCCCCAGGTTATTTTGGGTGATAACCACTGCCAAAAATCACTGTTCTTTGTCAGGTGACAGACAAAAAGGCACCAGGGAAATGGGAAAAAAGCCCAAATGGATAAAAGCCCACTATGGGCAAGCCTGGCTTGCAGTCTTTGACAGAAATTTGAAGGATCTGCCAGTTAGGTGCCAGATGAGAAGATGGGATAAAACAAAGCTAACTTTAACATTTATAGTTCATGAGCTCTCATCTTCTACATGGCACATCCAGATCAGTTCAGCAGGCTCAAGTTTTCAGATGAATAACCAGATACATAAGAATTTTATTGCAAAGGTTGTTAAATGTTGACCAAATGGTGCATTGCTAGGCTATGCAGAAAATCTCAGTGAAATGCATTTGATAAGGGTGTGGATCATAAAGCAATCGCCCTTTACTTTCGATTTCCAACACATTTGCCTGTAAAGGAATTTAAATTATTTTCAAGATACCAAGTGAAGTTTTTTTTAAGACAGGTAGGAGAACTTGTCTGCAGGCACACTCATGGTTAAGGCAGTGGCAGCCCTTATACAGTAGGGGCCTTATGCACCACGAATGTAGGGCCTTGCATCATGTCCAAGCAATGCTCTAGAGGCCGACAGCTATTCGTTTTGGGCCATTAGCTTTTACCTTTTGCTTATGTAGCCTTTGTTATTTGCCCATTTTACAGCCTGCCCTCTTTCCTTTCTACTGTGCCTTGCTAAGCTCCAAGCCAGAAAAGATGAACTTACAAAATAACATTCATTATTACAATTTTTTTTTTGCATAATGTTTTGCAAAACTATCATAGACTGCAATACAAAGTGAAAAATATACTGCTAGGCTATATATTGTGAACAACAGCATACACTTACATTGAAGTCTCCGGGATGTGGCTGTGACTGGATTTCACCCTTCTGCTTTTTGCTGGAGGAGATGGAAGGTAATAGACTGCTGCCATTAGGTCTGCTGAAGGAAGTTAAATCATCGTTGGAGTATTTGTGTTTTGATGCATCAGAGAGGGGAGAGATGGGTGACCGAAGCATTTTCTCATTTTTATTTATTGGTATTGCCAAGCTGGAAATGGAAATTACAGTAATGGAGTGTCACAAAGCTGGCTTTGAGAAAAGTAAATGTTTTATATATTACCAAAACTTTGAATTTAAAACCTGCTGGCAGGATTAAGTCTATTGGTATCTGGAAACAAGCGTACAGTATTGGGACCAAGAGTTCATTTACAAATTTGTATCATGTTTCTTCTCTTTCCCTTCAAGGCAAATTGTAATTCTGGAGTTAATATAAAGTCTGTATCACAGTACTTGAAAAAAAAATACAGAGATAAATGGCCACTTGCTCGCCATTTCTTAAGGGATAGCTGGAGACGAAGATTAGGCTCTGAAGTGTAAGTTCAGGTTATGGAGCCCTATTTCACTGTTACAGGTGACAATTTATAAGCCATGGCAATAAAACCATATGTGAACTAAAACAGGAAATGTGTTTAAAGATGACTGGCTTGTTTTTGTGCTCACTGTCCAGCCTTTGGTAGCACTGTTTATACTAATCTAATACAGATTTTGAAGACAAAGAAAGATAGGCTGTTAGTGCAGACGAAAGGAAGCATATGCAAACAGTAGACACAGAGAAATGTGAGCTGCTCTGTCTTCTAAAGCAGAAAGCTATAACACAGACAGTATTTTCAGCTTTCATTTGTTCAAGAGAAGCTTTGGACGAAGAGAAGTCAGACAGACCATAAAAATATGCCCAGAAATAAACTTCAGATGCACTAACTTGAAGAAAATATTTAGCTGAAAATCTTAAAGCAACACACAAAAATTGCAGGTTTTTTAAGGAGACAGTTGACACTAAGACTAAAACTGCAATTAAGGTCAGAGAGACTATTTTAACACTATACCTTTCCCTGTCACATTCCCCTTTATTCAGACTATTACTTTTTATGGACAATTCTCACTTCTTTATAGTTACTGTATCAGACAATATACACATAATGGAATTGCAAAAAAGAATACAGTAAGAACTATACTTCATCTCTGCACATAATTTCAGGGAACAGAGCTAATTAAATGTGCTCATCATACATTTGTCCATTTATCTGGCAAGTCTTTAAAAACTAGCTGTAAAAGAAGCCATGAATTGTAATTCAGAACCTTTACTGTTTCACAGCACGTAGTACCTTTAAACACTATGTCAACTGTTTTGCTTTAATGACCGATGCTGTTTACAAAAGCAAAACTCTGGGTGTGTAAGATAGACAACTGTGCCCTTCCTCTCCTCCTAAGAGAAATAAGATCTTTAGCACTATGTTGAATGTGCAGGCTGATGCTGTAATTTCTTTTCCTCTTTTCAAACATAAACCCACGGCTTGGCTAACCATGTTTACACATCACTGTCAAAGTGTGGGCCTGAAGCATCCAAGAGAAGCCATAGCTCTTTAGAAGTGTACCCAAGCCTCAAAATTTTGGCCCAGAGCTTGCGAGAAGTAGCTGAAATTTGTAGTTTCAACTGCTCACCTTCCACACGGCCTTTGGCACATTGAGTACTAGTAGTAAGGCCAGTCTTCACGAACGAAGATTTTGGGAAAGGTCTTTTACCTTTCAAGCCTGCGCAATGGATTTTTTAGGTGAGACACAGCATGCGCGGAACTGAGCCCACCCTTTAATTCTAAGGTTCATCTGCTGGGGCCAAGCAAGCTTAGACAATGGCAGTGAGGTCCTCAGGACCCAGGTTTGTTTAGAGTAACCTTCTCATAGATGGATGGCCTTACAGGGCTGACGAGCTCCATCTGCCCGGGGGAGTATCCCTCGTGGTTAGGATGCGGCGCTCTCACCGCCGCGGCCTGGGCACATTGAGTAGGGCCCACCTAAACTTACTGTGAGCAGTCAAAGCGCAGCAGCACATTTTCTTATACCAAGAAGCCATGCAACCTGCAGCAAAGGACAGTCTCAGAGCTGTCATCTGCTGGAAATGGACAGATTGTGGCATCCCATATAGGTGCAAGATATTTGGGGTATCTCTGCCTGACCCTGCTGCCTTTCTTGTCAAACAGGACCTTACTTAGTCTGCACCTCAGACTCTAATTTCACAGTACAAAATGCTCGTGTCTGTAGGTGGTTTTGCTCCTCCCTTTGCTACCAGCCCTCAGCTGTGCTGCCAGAACTGTCTGGGTGACTGTACTGGGAGATGAATAATAATACTTGGGAAAAAAAAAACCCCAAAAAAACAAAAATAAGGAAAAAAAGAAAAATAAAATGAAAAAAGAAAAAGAGGAAAAAGAGATAGAAAAAGAAAAAAGGAAAAGGAAAAAAGACAAAGAAAAAGAAAATAGGAAAAAAGATAAAGAAAAAGAAAAAAAAAGGAAAAAATAAAGAAAAAGAAAAAAGGAAAAGGAAAAAAGAGAAAGAAAAAAGGAAAAGGAAACGGAAAAGGAAAAGAGAGTTCTGGTTCCAAACAAGTTTCTTGAGTGTATTTACAGGAGATCCTCACAGGCATCTCTGGTGGTGTAACTGGAGAGGGGATGTGACAACATGAACAGCTTGCTGTTGCAAGAGTACCAGGAGGTCCTGATATCTGCACTGCTCGTTTAGCTACAGCCTCGGTAGCCCTTCCTCATCTGTGGGAATATTAGCATTTGGTATCATGTCCTACACTAGCACAAACCACAGAAACATCTTGGAAGCAGAACAAATCAGGAAACAATTAGGAGGCAAACATACTTTTCAAACATTCTTTGTTTCTTTAATATACTGTTGCTACCAGAAGTACTGACTATAATGTTAAGAAAAACACATATTATTGCCCTGCTTCCTGCAAGCACAGAATTAACCCTGTGACACAGCAAGCTATGAGAGCCATGCTACTCTCTGAAAATGAATGCAACGTAAAATGTGACACTGCGGTAACAGGAACGGCATGTCTGCATGCTGTCACCCACAATAAAGCAAACTGTTCTGTGTATTGTTTTCACTATATGAAATGTATATGACATGTCAGGACAAAGAAACTGAATGCATATTTTTGAATAACTACTGTATATATTAGTTTTTGCCATGATTTTTTCCAGTATTAATGACAAGAATTGCTCAAGCTCATCAGTGATATGTACAATAGAAAAGCTTACTATAATAAATACAAATATTTTCCTATTTTATAGCAGTTTCAGCCCAAGAGATATCCTGATACTACCAGAAAAATGATTTAAAAAAAAAATACTGATGACCAGCATTTACCAAGCAGCATGCAGCTGAACTCTGAGAAGACGCATGTCAAAGTTTGACTGCTGGAAGCCTCCAGAGAAACTCAAGTATGATTGCTCTGACATTGACAGGGGTCTGTGTGCATAAACCATGCCAGCAAGTGCTAAATATTCATCTTTTGTTTCACGCCCTACATCCTTTTAAAATTTCACCTTTTTAAAAGTCTAAGTTCCTTGTCCTAGAGCACTTGCTAATTACACAGAATGGAATGCTTGTAATCTCAAAAACAGTGGATCTCAAATATTTTCTGGAAAGGAGTATTGCAGGCATTGTTATGAATATTTTTTCAATGTTTTCCACAGAGCTGATACATAATTCTATGTATACAGTCAAACTTTAAGCTTGAAACTCGCAGCACTATAAGGTAAGGTCTATAAGATAGTTGTATATGTGAACTGGTACCTACAATACAGCATTTGTGACTATGTCTCAGACAATCACACTGCTCTAGCTATAATTACTCATTCCATGAGTCTCACACTTAAGCTTACAACTTCTTTGTGCAACAGGACAAAAATGCAAGTCCATGAATATGTCAGAAGCTACTAACTTGTTCATTAAACCAGAAGAATGGAGAACGTAGTGGGTAATTTTTCAACATAAAATATAATAATTAAAAAATAAATCCTAATTAAGTAAAAAATAACACACAGCATTAAACTGCAACAGTTTGTATGACTCAGTGATAAATAAGGAGGGAAAGGCTTACCTATTTTCATTCATATTGCAGTGATTTGCTGTTGTGATGCTGTGGGCAGAGGCAGCTAATCGTGAAGAACTCTCTTGTTCTAAGTGAGTCTTCTTGATGTCTCTGCACTCTTCCTCATTCTCACACTGAGTGAAGAGAAAAGTAATAATTTTGTAGGTTTTGGATTTACTACAGATCTAAAAGTATCAGCAAGTCAGGGGCTGGTATTTTCTGTCATTTTGTTACAATTATAATTTCTTTGAGTATATACTAACATGGATCAGAGATGATTGGTCCATGTCTTAAGAAAATAAAATCTTAAGAGTCAGTGTGTAAACAAATGAGAACTGTATAAAACTTGAATTGTTTCCACCACTTCCCCACTTGAAACAGGGCTGCTACCTTTCAGATACTAAAAAAAACCCCCAAAAAATGAAGTAAGATTAAACAATAGGGAAGACTGCTTTAGATAAATGGTCCTCAAAAATACAAAGATCCATCTGCACATGTACAGTAGCTCAGAGGGCAACAGATGACTGCACAGCAAAACTGTCCAGAAATTGAGCAGATGGCGATTCCAGTTTGAAGTCACTTTTGGGGTCAGATCAGTACAAACAGACCAGAAAGCCTGCCTGGTGGACAGCTGTGGCCATGAAGTGGAGGGGGTTTTCTCCTTAGCACCAGAAAGTGTGTGGGAGAGATTGGGTGGAGGGGTGGATGTGATCAGAGGGCTGTGACCACCTGGCTGCTGTGACAGTGCTGCTGGAGAGGGGGCAACTAATGGACTGTGGTCCCACTTCTGCAGAGCCCTGAGAGAAAAAGGGGCCAACAGGGTGTGAGGGAGGCAGGTTCCAGAATCAGGCTGGTACCAGGTCTCCATGAGTGCACCCCCACAAAGCCAGGGCTTCCTGCTGGGGCTGAAGGGTTTGCCTCTTGCTGACAATCTAAGGGGAAAAAAGATGCTGCCTCTTCTTTTACCACACACGCAGTGATACCATGCAAACCATGACAAGACAGTAGATAGCTGTCCCTTTGCTGACCTGAGCATCACTTCCAAATGTTCATTTTTCTGAGAGAAGCCTCATGAGGGAAAACTATCCTACTAAAAATGCAGTGCTTTCGCTAAGGCACGCAAAGGCATGTGCCAGCAGTGAATGCTGTCTCCAAGGGGCTGTGATCCCTCGTGATCAGGAGTTTCATCACCTCCTGGGATGGCAACTCCCCTAGGGTTTGGCCAGTCCCTACGTGGAGAGCAGGGACAAATCCCAGCTCTGAAATGCTGTCCTGGAGAAGACACTGTCATCGAGCACTGGATGTGGGCACAAGCGATGCCTGCCTTCCACTTGCTGGAGGCTCCCCTACCCCTTCTAATCGGTCCCCCAGAAGCTCACCTTGCGTTTCCTTCTAGATTTCGGTAAACCCTTCTCTGCGGGGGGTTCAGCACTACTACCCTGCGGGAGGCTGGCCGCCTGGTTTGCTTCGGCGCTCATGGCCAGCGGTTCTTCGGGCAAACGCTCTGGAATCCTGGACAAAAGAGCCAAGTCAATGTTGACCCACAGCGACTTTACCTCATCACTGTCTTTCAGAGGAGACAGGAGCTCATTCCTACCGAAAGGAACCAGGGTGTAAAACTGTTCCTCCAGCTCCTTTGCTATTTCAGTACTAGTCCTGGCATTAATTGAGCCAAAGGCACTGCAGCCGCCGTGGGGTTTGCTGGCGGTGCCGGTCCCCGCGTCCTTGGCACGCGGCTCGGCCCCGGCTGCCGCTGGCGCCTTGGGCAGCAGGCGCTCCTCCCGCTCCGACTCAGAGCCGGAGTCAGAGGAGGATGAAGAGGATGAAGACTCGGTCTCGATGAACTCCTTGGATTTGGGAGCCGTTTTGCTCGGCCCCCGGGCCCGACGCTTCTCACCAGCTGCAGCTGAGCGGGGCTCCCGGCGATGCCCCGCTCTGCAGCCCCCGCCGCTGCCGGTGCCGCCGGGCCGGGCTCTCGGCGCCTCGCCAGCAGTGCCTTCAGGGAAGCTGTGGCTCCGAGGGGGCTCCTCTGCGCCGGGGCAGTGGGGGCCGTCTCCGGCGGAGGTCCTCTCGGCTCGCCGCGGTGCCTTCTTGCCCGCTGCCCGCCTCGGGGGCGCGCCGTCGGCAGCGAGGGGTGACTTCTGCCGGCTGCCCTTGCTGCCGGGCGCTTTGCTGGCGGTCCTGGGCCGCGGCCCGTCCCCGGCGGCGGTGGCGGTGCGGCTCTCCCCGCTGCGGTGCTCGGCCGGGCCCTCCGTAGAGGCCTTCTCGCTTTCCTGCCGCTCGACTTTCACGCGGCCGTAGTAGGGATGGGCTTCCAGCGCCGAGCCATCGTGGTGGGTTAGGATGGGTGCTTTGTGCGTGGTAACTTTATTCAGCCACTTGTCCAGCTGCCACTTGTTGGACGACGGCGGCTCGGGCTGAAAGCCAAACAGATGGACACGAACTTAGTGCCGAGACCCTGCTGCCCCCACCCCGGGGATCTCTCAGGGGCGCAGAAACGCCGCGTCCCTCCTGGTACCACAGAGATTTTCCTCTGGACCAAGAGCCACCCACAGTCTGCAGCAACCCCTGGGCACTGGCCCTGTGCGGCAGGGCAGGGCTCGTGGGGCATGCTTTGCAAGTGAGGGTGTTTTTGGTTTCAGAATGGCATTGGAGAAGAGGATGGCTTCTGATATCCCAGGGTGATTCACACAGCACTAGTGGCATTGGCTTTACTGGGAAACACTTCCAAGTTTCCAAATAGAAAAAAATGCAATGGCGATAGGAAGGGATGAAAACAAGGAGGGTACAAGGGAAGATAGCTAGTAGGAAAGCTAGGGATATGTATTCTGTGTCCTGTGCCATCACAGTAAATACGGAAAGTATTTTAAGAAGCATTTGGTGGGGAGTTGGAGGGCTAACCAGGCGATTCATGTAATCTGCCTGGTATTGATGTTATAATCCTCTGAGATCCCACAAACATTTGTTATGTGGTGGTGCTGTCAAGTTCTCATTTTGGGAGCATTGTGCGGCTGTTAGTTTTTCTCTTCATTTCTGTCACAACACCATCACGTTATAAGAGAGCATCTAAAACATAATGGTGTTTGGACAGGGAAGAAGTGGGATAATCATGATTTCAAATGTAACCACAGCTCAGATGATGTTATTTCAGAATAGTATGCGAGTGTTTTCTAGTGCTTCTTGCAATCAGTAATTTGAACGTAATAAAATGAAGAGGAAAGGAAAAAAAACCCCAAAATAAATAAATGATGGAGTAGATGGCCAGCCATAACCTAACCTCACAGAAGTGAAAGTGAAAAGTCTCCTAATTTCCTCAACTGCAACCAAAATTTGATTCACTAGGTTACTGCATATGAATAATCAAAAAGTGTGTCATGAGTCAAACATAAAAGCCATCAGTGCTCTGTAAGAAAGTTTGCTCAAGAGAGAATATCCACAGTATCTAACTTAAAAGAGTCTCTTACTTCTTTTTTAAAGTAGATGCCTGAGGGCAACACAGGTTTCCTGCACAGCCGAGGGCGCCTCCAGAATCACCCACTGAGGGTTGTATTCACTCTACATGGAGCAAAGGCTCCTAAAATAAGCAAAAAAATTAGACATCGAAATTCATATGATAAGAATATTCCTTCCAGCAAAAGTGTCTAGTTTACTTATTATTGAGCTAGCCAAAACCTATGGGAAGTTTGCTGGATTGCCTAAAGTTTATTTCTTTTAAAGCACACTCCCTAACATCTTACATGAGGAATTTCTTTCCTGAGCTGTAAATCTTGAAAATGGATGGTCAATATTTCTCTAGGATGAAGCTGTATTTTTACAACTCTTAACTCTTTGTCTAAAGTGAACAACACTTTTTTTTTATTGTTGTTGAAAATACAGGTAGATTTGTTTGGTGCCATTCATTGTGCACATACTGAATTTACTTTTTTTTAATGGCCAGTCTTCGCGAACGAAGATCTGGGGAAAGGTATTTTACCTTTCAAGCCTGCGCAATGGGTTTTTAGGTGAGACACAGCATGCGCTGAACTGAGCCCACCCTTTAATCCTAAGGTTCATCTGCCGGGGCCAAGCAAGCTTGGACAATGGCAGTGAGGTCCTCAGGACGTAGGTTTGTTTAGAGTGACCTTCTCATAGATGGTTGGCCTCACAGGGCTAATGGGTTCCATCTGCCCGGGAGACCGAGGAATCGAACCCGGGTCGCAGCAGTGAGAGTCCTGCATGCTAACCACTAGGCCACCAGGGGTCTCGACTGAATTTACTAGATATATAATAAAAGGTTCACTATACATGGAAGTCTTTCTAGTATTCAGGTGTATTTAAGAAAAAGGACATACCTCAGAAGCACATGGGGAAAAATATACCTCTGCCCATAGTATAGGTCAGAGTGAGTGTCACTTGAAAGTTCAAAACAATTCCAGTTTTTATGTTACATCCCATTCTGCTTCTTTATGTACCTTGTAATTCTTGAAAACAGTGTTTCACCAAATATGGATTTCAAGGGGTCACAGTAAACCAGCAGAAAACAGTGATTAAGTGCTACACTGCTATAACTTGGCAGTGCAGTACTTTCCTAGAGTGGTATGTCTGCTATTTAGGCAGAATAACTATAGTCCCACCAACCTATTAGCCAACTATGAAGTCCATTAAAAAGGATCAACAGTGTTGCCAGCTTTACTGATTTTGTCAGGAGTTTCAGGTGCACTTTTGAGGTTTATTTAAATAAAAATTTAAATCCTTGTGGCTGCTGGAAAAAATCCTTAAGATCTGTCTGCTGAAAAAATCCTTAAGATCTGTCTGCTAAAAAAATCCCTTAAGATGCATCTGCCAAAAGTAAAATGCCTACAGCCTATCAGGTAAATTAAAAGAATCCAAATTTAAAAAATCAGAATTTTAAAACTTTTCCCACTAATTTTAGGCCCTGATACAGTTTTGGAATATTTGAGATTGTCAGTGTATATGAGTGATGCCAATTCATTTTTGGAAATAATTTATTCAATCGATTGTTCTACCTGAAAATGACTGTACTTTGAAATCAAGTAAAAAAAGAAAGTACCTTGTGAGGGAACAAAATCATGACAGCCAAGAATGAATATCAGGCCTGATAAAAAAAGGGATTGGGAAAATTCCCTTGAAAGTTTTTGCCAGTCCATTTTACATGCCTAATTGTAATAATCTGTGGGAGAAAAAATCCCTAATTCCCCAGTCCACCATCATCCCTCTTAGTATGTCACATACCATTTTATGGAAGAAAAGTTGGTTTGCTTGAACTGGAAATTTTTCAGCAGCATGTAAGGATGGAAATGAATATATATGACCAGAGTATTCTGATAACAGAATGTTCTCTGCTCTTTGATTTTTGTGTCATGGAATTGGGCTGCCCCCAGGGCCTTTTAGAGAACTGGCCAGATTTAAATTGGAGTAAAGCCTGTGGTGCCCAGTAACAGGAACAACACTGTGATCAGCTGACTTGCAATTAAATATAGGCTTGGCATGAAAACCCAAGCCAGGAAACTTAACGGGACACAGATAGTTTCGGGGATCAATGCACCACAGACATACACATGTGCCAGGCTTCATGGAGAAACAGAAGGATGTGATACATTTCCTTAAATGTGGGTGGATTCATCTGTACAATATAGACACCTATATCTGAGCTAGTCAACAAGTTCTTTCTCCAGTCAGTGGACTACTCTTGTAGGGTGTGAAAAATTCCATCTTGAAATAGACATCTGAAATAGACCAGATGAGCCGGGCCCCAAAAACGTCTTTTCTTCACCACAGACTGTAAGGGGAGGCTGAGGTGATGAGCAGATGTAGGTATCTACAGAAGTGTGCAAATTTAGGTGGGATGACTCCCACACAGTGTATCTACATATCTCAGATCTCTTCAAGCCTGCAAGTGCAACCAGAGGTATGAGTGGCATACATCCAAAAAGAAAAGATAGTGTCAAAACACTATCCAGAAACACTTCCTGGGGTAAAGGGCTGTTAAACAATGTCAGTGTAATGGGGTTACTCTACGATTGTGAGGCACCTAAGGTGTGGCTAACCTGGTAAACTTGAAGCATGACACCACTTTCACTGAGATACCAGATAGCCTATATTATATGCATGGACTTAGTCCACTCTGGATAGGACTGCGCTATTTGCCATCCCTGCAGTCTACTCTGCCTATTGTAAATCCACATACAAATTTAACCTTATGGTAACTTGCTTGGGCTGTCCTGCTATCAAATACTTCATTCAGGGCAATCCCCTTACAAATCTGGTGCTTTCTCGTTATATTTAAGGCATGGACGGCAATGATGATGATGAAGAAGATGATGGTGATTCTTCTTCCTATTTCTACTTTATTGATACTGTTAACACTGCTGCTAGTGCTTTAACAAATTAGAACTGGGGATTCCCATATGTTAGGCACAGCACACTTATACTGTATGAGGTGGTTCTTGCCACAAAGAGTTTTCTCTGGAGGGAAGAGAGAGCATAGTTTGTAGTCTTACTCAAAAATAGTCCACAGGACAGCTAAAGCCCATGAATCCTATTTGCAAAGGTAGAGATAGTGTCTACAATTGGTCTAGTGGTAAAATCCCCTTTTCTTTTGTATATGTGAATCCTCAAAAAGGAGGAAGAAACTTTTTGGTTGTGAACTAGTCACAACAGCAGTCTGTAAAGGACACTGCAATCTGGTAAGTGGGGCTGGTGGGCTCATAAAAGGGCATCTTTGTCTTCTGGACCGGTTACTGTTGAGTCTCCACTGATATCCTTTGCCCCATGTGATGGCTTCTCTGCTTCCTTCCTGCCCATTTTCCCCTCTTGTCATCCCTGCATAGTGGGAATTCACAGTTGTATAACCAAAGCCAGCTTTACTAAAGGTCTGCAGGATAATTCAATGGAACAAAGAACAAAAACCCCAAATTCTTAGTTTTAGAAATGTAGCTCTTTCTATAGATTTGACACCAAAGTTTTTTCTACCATCTGAAATAATTGCAAGGACAAGACATCATTGTTTTCCAGATTCCACATTTATGATGTTATTTAAGGTCATTCAAAGAACCGATTACTTCAGCAAAGAAAGAGGAGATAGAAGTCTCAGTCCCTTGTTCATAATTTTAGGTTTGGCAGTCCACAAACGTGTAACTACTCACAATAATGTCTGAGGCACCTTATTTGTCCACATCACTGAAACTAGTCTGAATGTTGTCTCCTGTTCTAGCTCAGACATTATTCTTAGTTTACTGCACACATAAAGTGCAGACAGCTGAGCTAGTCACTACAGGCTCTAAATAGTCGATAGAAAGAAACAGACACTTTTAGGGTGCAATTCATCTAATCTACTTTATATGTATGCTTTACAATAAGCTGCTTTTACACTCTAGGCAACTGCATTTAGACACCTGAGGACAACTTCAAGATCTCAAAATGAGATGAGGAAAAAATTACAGAAGAAATGAAACAGCAATTGAATTGTTATATAACCTCATATGCAGAAGATACACTGTCCTAGAAATAAAAATCTTTGAGTGTATGCATATAATATTTCAGATTACGAGAGAAAATAAAAGAATGAAGGTCTCATAACGCTTTGCAGATTTCTAGATTAAGTTCCTCCCAACCTGGAAATATAGAGCACTGTGCTGGAGTACTCAAGTTCATTGTACCTGAATTTACCAGTTAATGCTAAATCAAAAGCAAAGATGTATTTACTTTTTTTGTCTTATCCAATAGATTAAGTTCATTTTAAGACTAGTTCTGGAATTGAGTCCGCTACTTAAACTTAAGTGGACAGGATCTCCTTTCAAAGAGCTTCCAAGGACCTGTCTCTTTCCATTTACTGGTTAAGAAACTGGCATGTACTTTAGAAAGATGTCTTCACTGGGTGCATAAATGTAAGTTAAAGCATTTATGCAAAGCTGAAATGACTTCTAGTCAGAGACATCCTGTAAGCACATTTGAATTGGTGCCATCAGTTTTACGATAGGCCTGGGAAAGCATTTGCCCTTGGGGAAAACACAGGTATCCTACGTCCCTGGGACACCCTGACCCTATCTATGTGTGCCATCTCCCATATCCCATCAAGGGATGAAAATGCCCTATGAAAATCACTGTAGCCATCACATTTTTGGGTAATTTACATTTTTGTGTATGCATGTTTCATACAGCACGTCCTAGAAGACAAACCGCACAAATATAACGTGAAGAGACAAGCAATCTGTTGGAGTGATGCAGCTGTTTCGTGACAATGATCACAGACAACTCAGGCTCTGTACAAAAGTAGTTCCACAGATCTCGAGAGGATATGTATAAAATGCTTAAGAGGAGGCACTTCCTCCATGTTTTCATGACTCAGTCCTCTGCTTGACTTTATGAAATCCACGACCTGCCTCAGTTAATTAACTTCATGCATTCCCAGAGGAATTGCTGCTCTCGGGTCCAAGCAGCATAGGTAACTGCCTAGATAGTAACCACTCTTCCGTTCCTGGGTACAATGCTTCTCCTCCTTTCATCTCATATTTCCTTCCTCTCACAATATTTCCTTCTCTTTCTTCTCTTTGCCCCTTTTATTCCACCTTTCGAGATCCCACAGGGAGAGGAGAGACCAAGCATGAGATCTCTGCACTAATTCCAGTGGGGAATTAGGCAGAGAGAAAACAAGGTCTTAACAGGTCAGATGAGAAAGCTCACAATGGGAAGTAAGACATGGGGTACTGCAGGGAGGGCAACAGGTAAGAGATACTGGAAGGAAGAGAGAGACATGTAAGAAAGGGACAAAATGAGAGGAAAATTAACTGGAAATGGATCTGAAAATACTGTGAAGGAAAGACAGACAGGAAGATAAGTGCTAAATAAGGAACAAAAGCAACAGAACCTGAGAGAACTATATTAAGGATGTTTCTGTGAGTGCTGCATTTTGCCTGACTGGCTCCAAATGACCAAGGAAAAGATGAGGAAAGGTTTGCTGTTTTTTCAGTGTCATTTTTTCGGATGAGAGAATAGGTGAGGTATAGTTTTGGGGAGAGGAGTCTGGTGATCGGATGCTTTATGTGGAGTAGGAAAATTCATTGACTGTATTTCACGTATATTTACAATCTTGCCACTAAATTTTTGAATATTTTTACACACATTAATGTGTGTGATGTGGCTGTGGAGTTCATGGTTTAATTCTAAAGGTGTGTATTGATGAAAATATGTAGAAATGTCAATCCTGGTAGAAAAGCAGAGCCGAGAAAGTAGCTTTGTTGTGTCTGTTGATCCTTCTGTAGAGGTGAAAGCAGGTAGTGTCATAGTACTGGCAGCTTAATTGTAGTTTGGCTAGGGCTTGTCTACATGTGGAAATTTTCAGTACTAGCTTTCCAGATGACAAGTTTGAGCTCAATGTTTTGCACCATGACTAATTCAGTTTAGTCCATTTTGGAGGTGGATTAAAATAAATCACACAAAGGCAGCAGTAGGAGAGAATAATTCACTTACAGAGTGAGGCAAGGGAAGTGTGTGAGTGAAAACTGTTTTGCTTTAAAAATCCACCTGCAAACTGATTTTATAACAGCTTCCTGCATGGCGAAGCCTTTAGTTCCCTTGCAGTGCTGGGAGCTCACATCAGGATTTAAACACTAAGCAAGTCATTGCTATGGAGGCAGAATTGCATAAAACTTCAAGCAAGCTGTGAGCTTTGCAAGGTGCTCCACTCATCTCCAATTTAAGGAAAACATCACAGGCTTATTTCTTTCTTCATTTTTGTTTTATATCTTTTAATTTGCCCCAGGATCCCCGGCCACTTGCATCTCACAACATGCCAGGAGGAGGATCCCTGGGCCCTTCTCTTCCATTTTTTGTATATCTCCCCACAGCCTCCTTGTGTTGGCTTGGCTGGGAAAAGGTCTGAGTGGGTGTAATAATGGAGTGCACCCTAAATCACAAAGAGCAGAAGCCCTTACCTCTGGGCTGGAGTAATGCGAGGGCTTGCTGCCGTCACTCTCGCTGGAGCTGCTTTCGCTCTCTGAGTCAGACTCTGAGCTGGTCTCGGATTCACTGGAGCTGCTGCTGCTTGACCCCTTGCTGGAGAGTCCCGAGGCTCGGGCATTGGGCTGTGGCACCACCAGGCTGCCAGCCCCACAGACAGCCCATTGGAGAGGGGGGAGGGAAGAGAAGAAAACAGGAACATAAAAAAACCCACATGTAAAAACCATGGTGTTTTAGGGAGCATACCTCTCTGAATGCCTGTGAGCTTGTCTCTGCTGCTAATGAATGGTGAAGTGACTTCAACATTACATTGCTATAATTGGGGGGAAGATATGGGATTACTCTCATATCCATTTAAATACATAGCTTTTGCCATTATTTCTTCATCTGAGGGAGGGTCAAGTTTTCACTTTAGCTTGTCTAGACATTTTAAGATGTATTAAAAATACCAATGTTTGAAAAAACAGAGTACAGAAAGCAATTTTACACTGTCTAATGAACATTCAGCACAGAGGTGGAAGCAGGAGATCAAAAAGATGAACAGTTAAGAAACTGAGTTGAACCCCATGCTACCAGTCATAAGTAGTAATAGCAATAACCATAAAAATAACCATAATTATACATTTTCACTGGAGCTTCCAACCCCCATCTTCTGTTTTGCACACTTCTTCAGCTACCCATAAACTGTGTGGTTACCTGTATATACCATCTTGATATTGACAACTCAAGATCTGAGACTCTCAGCTTAGAAAAACTTGAAGAGCTCAGGGTTATGTTTTTGCATGTCACCAGTGCAGTGCTGTCAGCAGAGCTACTTGCCTTCTTAGAAGTTACGTTTGCATGCAAGTGTTTGTATTTTCAGGCTTGGCAGCAGAAGAAATGTATGTTTTCCTGAAATAGTTGACCATGCATATTAAAAATATCACAGTCATAAAGACCCGAGTGTGAAATATCTTATTAAGTCATCCAGCTTATTCCCCAGGCAATGGATGATTGTTCCCTATAGCAGGGTGCATTTTCTAGTGAGTTGTCCAATTTGATTTTAAATGACTTGAATGCAGCTTTTACTTTCACCCTTGGGAAACTTCTCTGCAAACCAACTCAAATTCCACTGTCAGAAATTTCTTCCTACATTCAACCTGAAGTTGCCCTTTTAAAATTTATTGTTGTTAGTTATTATTTCATCCTATTACTAATAGTTACTATGATAAATTATCCTCCTCCCTTTTTGCTTTCACATTTTTGCAGACTGTTTTTCTGCCCTACTTCAGTCATCTTTCAGACAAGGCTTTACACATTTACGTCTTCTGATCTTTCTTCATAAGTCATTATCTCCAGGGATATGGGATCATTTTTACAGCTCTTTTCTGAACTCATTCCAATTTGTCTATATCTCTCTGATAACAGGGTGCCCAAAACAGAGTGCAGCATTATAGATGGGTTCTCACTAGAGCCCTACAATGAACGGCTATTACCTTCCTGCTCCTTGATACGTTGCTTCTGTAAACATATATCCAAGCTGTGATGGAATGTATAGTCCATTAACATCCCTACCTCTCTTTCAACACTGCTTTCTCCAGAATTCCTCCACTGATAGCTACATTTTAGATTATTTGCTTCCAGGGAGATTGGTTTGCTTTTTTTCTTCATACCAGATCTCATTTTCTTCTTTACCGCACAAGCTTCTAGCTCCTTTTGATTTATTTCTCTGCCCTCGGAGGTGCCTGCAGCAACTTCTAATTTAGTATCAAATACAAACTTAATTAAATAGTTATTCACTTCCTTTTCCAGCTCATTAATGAGATTGTTAAATAAACCCCACATGAAACACACCAGTACCCTAATAACCATTTCTTCCCAAATCCATTCACTGGTGTTTATCATTACCCTTGTTTATGCTCCATCAGTCCAATATTGTGGCTAATTCAATGTGATCTTGGAGATGCATTTTGTGAGAAATAATATCTAATAATTAATTACAGTTCTGCTATGTTGCACCTAATGAATTGTCTTTACCTGCTAATAGTGCTTTTCATTACAGAAAACTGAAACCTGACACCTGACACAAGCCAAATATGACAGGCAGTTTCTGGGGCTTTGAAAAGAGGCCAGGCCATCAGAGATGCAGTTTCAACTCCATGATTACCCACAGCTGCACACTTTCTGGCCCTCTTCCTGCCTCCCCTAACATATGCCAAACTTTCCCCTCTGGACCACCTGTCTTGCACAAGCCAACACTCCCGCAACATTGCTTTTACTTGCAGCATCCCCTTGCCTTTTGCTAGGAAGTGGCACAGCTGCCTATGGCTTTCTTGCTCCAGCAGTTTCTGGTTGCTTGGGGAATCATGCCACTGTTAGGGAGCCTTCTGTACCCTTTAAAGCACAGTGGGGCCAGGCAGTACAGAAAATCTCACCTGTGATGTCATCTTACTAATTAAAAGCAAGTCAAAAGAACAGGAAAGGGAGGAGCTGACATCCATTTTTATTTTTGAGCTTTATTTCCATCCTCGGAACTATTTGATGGTAGAGAGATGGGCAATGGTAAAAGCTCATGCTCCATCAGGATGGCTCCCTGCTACTCCTGGTTGCAAAAGTGCCTGCCAGCTCTGGGGAGGCAAGAGGTCTATCTTCATGCACAGGCATTAAAGGTTAAAGACTTTAAAAACTTGTCGTTATTCATGACATCTTTTGTCTACCCATGTAGCCATGGTAAAGACAAGATTTTTGGGCAGCCATTTGTATAACATCAGTAAGGCAGAGGTGACTGAAACAGAAACAGGTGATAAGCTTGTTAAAAAATTTTTCCTTCCTGCAGAAAGAAAACTGGTATTTTGTACGTAGCTTTGGGACAATGTAGCTTTCCACTTGTACAGGTTGCCCAGTAAACTCTACATATAAGCTGCTCACTTGTATTAACAAGTCAATCCCTTGCTAATAAAATATTAAGAGCTGTATAAAAGCCACTATGAATAGGATTTGTGGGTTTGAATTTTTTTCTTTTTTTTTCTCCCCCTTAAGAGAATATGAAAAGGTAACTGCCTTTTCTGACAGTGTAGCTTAGGGAATGCTTTTGACACTGTCCAACTCTGATGGATTTCCAGTCCTCTCTACAACAGCATTGTGACCTTTGCCTGAAAAGTTCTTCAGCATCACAAAACATCTGCACATTTATGCCCTGCCTTTAGTGACTGTGCTTTTAATTTTTAAGCCATCATTTTTATTTGGTGTTGACTGAAGTATTCAGAATTGCTATATAGGAGATGAGGGGGAAAAGACCCATGGTAATATTTCTTTCCTGCTGTGACATGAAATGTTTTTCTAGGCTGCTGAATAGAAATTGTTACTAGAGCCATAGATATAAAATATAACTGTTAGACTCTTCACAAACATCTGGAAATCTATGTTTGCTGCTCTAATGGTAGCCAATATACTACAAAAATTAAGCATTATAATATTTTCCCATTCTGATACTGCTTAAGTCTCCTGCCTCTCTGCTACCTTTTCCATTTTTAAATATAGCATATTCTTAGAAGGATCCTCATTATACTTAGTGACTAGGGTAAAATCAGTTATATCTTTCTTCATGCATTTTTATTAAAAAATAACCTTTTTTTCTAGGTGGTGACTTCCATTTTGGACTGTTTTTTCTGAAGGATGTAAGCAAGATCATGCAGTCGACCAATTTAAATTTTAATGACTGTGGCACATAACATTCGTGCATATTTTGCTACTGGCTTATGCCCCAGAATTAATTACTACATCATAGAAATTGTATTTTTATTTTAAGGAATTAAACAACAATTTGGGTAAGAACCACTTTTCTTTAAAACTCTTGATCAGAACATGCACTCTCTGACTTAAGGGAGAGAGTAAATACCTTGTAAAGCTGCCAGAAGTTCAGAAATACCTTGTAAAGCTGCCAGAAGTTCAGTAATAAGATCACTTAATAACCAGCACACCATCTGAAGTTTCTGATCAGATATCTCCCATCATCCTGGCTACATGGTACCTGGGCAACTAAATGCCGTGCAAGTCTCCAACAGCTTGTTTTCCTGCACTGTCTAGTGGGCAACTGACCCTTCTCGGAAAAACTGCAAGATACCTCATAGCCTCAATTTTTCTCATATGCGCAGGTTCAGAAACAGAGTGATTTGGGGAGATTAATACTTCTTTCCCACTCTAACTAACTTGTGATCCAAGTTGAGAGGTGGAGCCATCCCTGGAGAAGCCTGAGAGGTTATTTATAGTGGGACCTGTCATTAGCCCCATCAGGCTGCATGACCATGGCCAGCCTTTGAATGGCACCAAGGTGGTTTAAACATTTATGCAGGAAGGTGCAAGTGTTTGCTGTTCAGTTAGTGGAGACAGATTCCCAAATCAGATTGCTTTCGTGACCCTCAGGATACCTCTTTAGGTTAATCACACTGGATCTGAGTCCTGCTCTATGCTTCATATTAAGCTGCTGCTTACAGCCACACTACTTTCCATGGTAATAAATCATGGTGTTCAGCACTGGCCACAAGAAGTTCCCAGGCAGCTAGGCATATGCTGTATTGCAGGAATTCAGTCTCACGGACATACAGCATGGGTAAAGCTACAAGTAAAATTGATGCAGTTCTTTACCAAACTGCAAGTATTTGGTAACAATATTCAGTAGATTCAAAAGAGAAAAATCCCTCTCATGCTGAAGAATTCATGATCCCAATTCTTCACTGTGTTACAATATGAAGGCACTTTATACCTACTTTACACAGGTATGAATGATTATCAAGAATGCAAAGGAAAAGAGAATCAGGCCTTGGAAAAATGACTCAGCCAAGGAAACATAAGTCTCTGAAATACTTTTCTAGCTGCAACAAAGGCTATGTAAACGCTCAAAGAATCATAGAATCAGTAAGTTTGGAAATGACCTCCAATATCATCAAGTCCAACCTTTGACCAAATACCACCATGCCCACTAAACTGTATCACGAAGTGCCACATCTACTCATTTTCTGAATGCTTCTAGGAATGGTGACACCATGACTTCCCTTTACCACTTTTTTAGTGAAGAATTTTTCCTAATATCCAACCTGAACCTCCCTTGGCACAACTTGAAGACATTTTCTCTTGTCCTGTCTGTCGCTAGTTGCGTGGAAGAA